CTTTTTCAAATATCTCCTGAAATGCATAAGTTAAGCTGCAGTATTTTTTCTTGTATAATGGTAGCTCAAAAACTTGGTGCCCTCAACTGCTTGTTTATCTTCAACTGTTTTGGGACAGAAAGATAAGAACATTTTGTTTCGCATTCAGCGACTGAACAAACGCTCCGCGTGCCGCTGATGCTGAAATGGTTTAAACGTCATACACTGGCTAGTTCTCTTTTCTTTTTTCTTAGAACTTTCATAACTACCATAATTTTGCTTGAATTGCCTACATTTTCTAACCGCAAGCAGGACTTATGATAGAGAGGAATGACTGAGTGCTAGAAAATTCTTAGTCCATCATGCACATCCTTGAAATGTACTTCGTTGTCATTGTTACTTGTATTCGTTACCTTCTCATTTGCAACCTATCTACCTGACATGAGTTGGATTTGGGTGGACCTTCAAAACGATAAATTTTTTATGGAATTGCTTTTGAAGAACAATTGAAAAGAATTCTTCTTTTAGCTGAAGTTGCACGTAGAAATCAACTTTCAGAATTTTTAATCAATAAATAGTGATATTAAGACTAGGAAAGTTTTGAAATTGCTTAAGTCTTTACTTGAAAATCAAAAAGTGCATGTTTAGGGAGGGGATGCCGGTGAGATCCGAGACGAGGACCTTAAAGGAATATTTCGTGAATTCGATTTGAATGGCGATGGTTTTATACAGAGGGTTTGCTTTCTTTCTCATTTTTGTTCGTTCTTATGGTGTTATTAATGAGAGCGACCATTCAGGATGAACTGCGGTCAGTGATGCAAAAGATGGGTCAGTCTCCCACCGAGGAGGAATTGGACGCAATGTTCAACGCTGCAGACCAGGATCATGACGGGAATATTGATTTCAAAGGTACATAAGTTTCTGATTTTCGGTTCTACTTAAAACTGTGATGGATAGAAACAATCATCTTATGGCGGAAACTTCTTTCGAATATTCTTTCAGTAATACTGTAGCAAAAGAAAGTTGAAGTTTGAAGCACCTTTGCTCTT